TCAATAGGCTAATCCTCCACCTTGCGGCGCCGGCACACCGGGTTCTAGTCCCGGTTGGGGCGCCGGATTCTGTCCCGGTTGCCCCTCTTCCAGGCCAGCTCTCTGCTATGGCCAGGGAGTGCAGTGGAGGATGGCCCAGGTGCTTGGGCCCTGCACCCCATGGGAGACCAGGAAAAGCACCTGGCTCCTGCCAGGATCAGCGCGGTGCGCCGGCTGCAGCGGCGGCCATTGGAGGGTGAACCAACGGCAAAGGAAGACCTTTCTCTCTGTCTCTCTCTCTCACTGTCCACTCTGCCTGTCAAAAAAAAAAAAAAAAAAAAAAAAGAAAAAAAAAAAAGAAAGTTCTATAAGGATTAGGGATACAAGGATTCTGTTCTTAAGGAGTTAAATAATTTTTATTGGTGAGATAATCCCATAGATAAATGAAAAACATTTGATATATAAATGTCTGTTAACAATGCAAATTAATATAAACTGAATATAAATAGTGAGTAAAGAATTATCAAACTGGGGAACTGGCCACCATCTGCGACACTGGCATCCAATATAAGCACTGGTTCCAGTCTCTGCTGCTGCACCTCCAATCCAGAGCCCAATCCAGAGCCCTGCTAGTGTTTCTGGGAAAAGCAGTGGAAGATGACCCAAGTGACCCAAGTGCCTGGCCCTGTCCTGGCTGTTGTGGCCATTTGGGAAATGAACCCGTGAAAGGAGCATTTCTTTTTATTTCCATCTCTCTGTAATCTGCCTTTCAACTAAATAAATCTTTAATAAAAAACAGCAAAAAAACTTGATAGTTAAAGTTTATCAATACAACGATTCTGAATCAAAACTGTACATAAGGGGCCAGTGCTGTGGTTAGGCAGGTAAAGCCACCGCCTGCAGTGCTGGCATCCCATATGGGCGCTGATTCAAGTCCCTGCTGCTCCACTTCTAATCCAGCTCTCTGCTATGGCCTGGGAAAGCAGTAACAAATGGCCCAAGTCCTTGGGCTCCTACACCCTTGTGGGAAGACCCAGAGGAAGCTCCTGGCTCCTGGCTTTGGATTGGCACAGCTCCAGCCATTGCGGTCATCTGGGGAGTGAACCAGTGGATGGAAGACCTGTCTCTCTGCCTCTCCTTCTCTTTCTGTGTAACTCTGACTTTCAAATAAATAAATAAATCTTAATTTAAAAAAACTATGTATGTACTTACACTCTGTTTTAAAAGAAGATTTTTATTTATTTGAGAGGTAGAGGTAGAGATAGATTCAATGGGAAAAACTTTTAATTTAGTTTTTCATTAATGTGCTGAAGTCTCCTTGTATTCTCTGTATGGAATCATGCATGTATTTATCTCAATATTTTTCCACAAAAATATATTATCTTATTCTGCCTCTGAAAATTGCTTCTTTTTGTTTACCTTTATATTTTAAAAATTTTTCCATTATGTTTCCTAGAGATTGCTCATATTCAATGAATACATTATTGTAAGGAATTCCATTACTCTCTCTAGGGTAGTCTTTTTGTTTGTTTTTAATTCAGTTTCTTAGTTGCACTAGCCAATTTCAAGTTCTTCATAGTCACGTGAGTCTGGTGGCTACTGTGTTGTAAAGTACATATATCTATGTAGTACATATATTTCTGCCATCACAGAAAGTTTTCTTTAGCACTGATCCACAACGCTATGTGGGGAAAAACATCACCTTAAATTCCATAGTAGAAGCCGGCGCTGTGGCATAGCATGTAAAAGCCGCCACCTACAGTGCCAGCATCCCGTGTGGGCACTGGTTCAAGTCCTGACTGCTTCTCTTCCAATCCAGCTCTCTACTTATGGCCTGGAAAAACAGTAGAAGTCCAAGTCCATGGGCCCCTGCACCCATGTGGGAGACCTGGAGGAGGCTCCAGGCTCCTGACTTCGAATCTTCCAGTTTCAGCCATTGCGACCATTTGGGGAATGTACCAGCATATGGAAGACCTTTCTCTGTTTCTCTCTCTGTAGCTCTACCTTTCAAATAAATGAATAGATCTTTAAAAAAAAAAAAAAACAAAAAAACCAAAAACTTCCATAATAGGACGCCTTCACAGTTTTATTTATTTATTTATTTGTTTTTGACAGGCAGAGTGGACAGTGAGAGAGAGAGACAGAGAGAGAAAAGTCTTCCTTTGCCATTGGTTCACCCTCCAATGGCCACCGCGGCCAGCGCACCGCGCTGATCCGAAGCCAGGAGCCAGGTGCCCTCCTGGTCTCCCATGCAGGTGCAGGGCCCAAGCACCTGGGCCATCCTCCACTGCACTCCCGGGCCACAGCAAGAGCTGTACTGGAAGAGGAGCAACCGGGACAGAATCTGGCACCCCGACCGGGACTAGAACCTGGTGTGCCGGCGCCGCAGGCAGAGGATTAGCCTATTGAGCTGCGGCGCCGGCCCGCCTTCACAGTTTTTTGATTCTCACCATTGTAGAGATAGTTTTTCATACTTGAAATTGTTATGTGTATATTAGATTATATGGTGCATTTGTCATGCATTATTGAACAGTTATAGAATGGTTACATGTTTACATTTTTAAACAGTTTATTTGATTTCATCTACTTGAAAGGTAGGGGAAAGAAAGAAAATGAATGAAAGAGAAATCTTGCATCTGCTGATTGATTCCCCAAATGTGTGCGACAGCTTGGGTTGGGCCAGGCTGAAACCAAGAGCTCAGAACTGCATTGAGGTCTTCCACTGGGTGGCACAGGCCTAAGCACTTGAGCCTTCATTCATTGCCTCCCAGGATGCATTAACAGAAAGCTAAATTGAAAGAGAAGTATCTGGGACTCAAACCAGTTCTCTGATAGGGGATCTGGGTTTCCTACCTGGGGACTTCACCTGCTATGCCACAATGCCTGCCCCTACATTTTAATTAATTAGTTAATTATTATTTATTTGAAAGGCAGGGAGACAGCAAGAGAGAGATAGATGCAGATAGAGAGTTCTATCCACTGGTTCAATCCCTAAATGCCCACAATAGCCAGGCTGGGACAGGCTGAAACTAGGAGCAAGGAACTCAGTTCAAGTCTCCCACATGGGTGACTAGGACCCAATTACTTGAGCCATCACCTGTTTCCTCTCTTGGGTGTATGTGAGCAGGAAGCTGGAATGTGGAGTAGAGCTGATCTGAAGTCAAGGTGCTCTTATAGTGGGATATAGGCGCTGATTCAAGTCCCTGCTGCTCCACTTCTAATCCAGCTCTCTGCTATGGCCTGGGAAAGCAGTAACAAATGGCCCAAGTCCTTGGGCTCCTACACCCTTGTGGGAAGACCCAGAGGAAGCTCCTGACTCCTGGCTTTGGATTGGCACAGCTCCAGCCATTGCGGTCATCTGGGGAGTGAACCAGTGGATGGAAGACCTGTCTCTCTGCCTCTCCTTCTCTTTCTGTATAACTCTGACTTTCAAATAAATAAATAAATCTTATGCATGCCAAATGCCTGTCCCTCCATTTTATATGTATATACTACTTTATCATATTAAGACATTATAATTTAGTCATCATTTTCTAATTTGGGGGAATTTTAGAAATTCTTTTATTCTCAATGTATTAATTTTAACTAATTTATTTGATAGGTAGAGTCAGGAAGGCAGGGTTGTGGGGCAGAGGTCTTTTATCCACTGGTTCAATCCCAGGATGGCTGCAATGGTCGGGGCTGGGCCAGGCTGAAGCCAGGAGCCAGGAGTTTCTTCTGGGTCTCCCACATGGGTACAGGGTCCCAAGCACTTAAGCTGTCCTCCACTGCTTTCCCAGGTACATCAGCAGGAAGTTGGATCAGAATTGGAGCAGCTGGGACTCAAACCAGCTCCCATATGTAATGCTGACACTGCAGGTGGTAGTTTAACTTACTGTACCAGAACACTGGCCCCCTCATCTATTTTTTTTTAAAGATTTATTCATTTATTTTTATTTGAAAGGCAGATTTATAAAGAGGCAGAGGCAGAACAAGAGGTCTTCCATCCGCTGGTCAGTCCCCAAATGGCTGTAATGGCCAGAGCTACACCGATCCAAAGCAGTATCTTAACTTCTGTGCCAATTACCTGCCCCAACATCTTTGTATAAATAGCTTTTTATAAAAAGTAATAATTTCATGAAATATAGTACTCAAAATGGGTTAATGAGACAAATCATGTTCATTATTTGGCTTTGAGGCAAATTGAGATATTTTTGTTTGATGGACACAAGGAAATTTTCATATTGGAGAGAATGAGTGAGATGAATCAGCTGTGGGAAATGATCTGTGCAGAGGCACCGAGGAAAAAATGAATTATGTAAAAAGTTAACAGTATATACTCTTTTTGTATTTTTTTTTTTTTGACAGGCAGAGTGGACAGTGAGAGAGAGAGACAGAGAGAGAAAGGTCTTCCTTTGCCGTTGGTTCACCCTCCAATGGCCGCCGCTGCAGCCGGCGCACCGCGCTGATCCTGGCAGGAGCCAGGAGCCAGGTGCTTTTCCTGGTCTCCCATGGGGTGCAGGGCCCAAGCACCTGGGCCATCCTCCACTGCACTCCCTGGCCATAGCAGAGAGCTGGCCTGGAAGAGGGGCAACCGGGACAGAATCCGGCGCCCCAACCGGGACTAGAACCCGGTGTGCCGGCGCCGCAAGGTGGAGGATTAGCCTATTGAGCCACGGCGCCGGCAACAGTATATACTCTTTAAGGAGTGAGTAGTTAGCTTAGCAGTAAGATGCCCACATAGGAGTACCTGAGTTTTATTCCGGGATCCAGCTGCTGACTCCAATGTGCTACCACCCATGTGGGAGACCTGGATTGAGTTCTATTCTCCAGGCTTTGAGCTGGTCAGGGACTGTGATTGGCGTCTGTGGAGTGGACCTGGGGGATCTCTCGGTCTATATGTTTGCCTTTCAAATAAATGTTAGAATAAGGAATACATGTGCTATATGGAAACAGATTATTGTGATGTTAAAAATCTAAAGTTTTCAAAAAGAGGTGTGAGTTCAATGTTGGGAATGAGTGTCTGTAACTTTTTTCCCTAGATGAAGCAGATGACGATGATGACCCAGAGTATAATTTCCTGGAAGATCTTGACGAACCTGACACCGAGGATTTCCGCACTGATCGGGCAGTGAGAATCACCAGTGAGTCTGTCTGTGATGAGGCCTGCTCTTGATGGCCCCCATCTACTGTTGTTCACTTTGTAGATGTCAGGGAGTGAAGTTTGTGATTCATCCAGATTAGGACCTTTCTTCTCTATGCAGTTATTCCCATAATTCTTTCAATTTAGGTTATATTCAGAAAGCTTGTCAGGTTTCAGTTGTACATTCCACAGTGATTTATTGAATTCTTACTGCTTGTTGTGGATAATACTTGGGATATTAAGATGAATAAAATATGAGGTCTGTCCTGTAAGTCACTTAGCAGGGGGTACAAACAGAAAAAGTTAGGATACACAGTGACAGGTGGTAAGTACATTTTATATATTCCAGTGGCTTAAAAGGGGATGTCATCCTTAGTGTATGGTATGGAGAAGGGGGAAAGATTTAGGGAAGGGTTCACAAGATGAGATGTTTTATCTTAAATTCAAAGCAGGGACAAGACATGTTTGGGGAATGAGAGAAGAGTATTGCAAATAGAAGAGCCTTTGCCAACCATAAAAATGTAAAATAATAAACTATTTGGAAAATAGTAAGTAGCTTGATATAATTTGTGAATCAATGGTGGTAGAAAAAATAAGCAGTGCGCAGATCTTGGAAAGTTTTTTCTCTCAAAAAGCTTTAAACAGGAAGTAATAGGAACTTACTAGGATTGTAGAAAGAGGATTTTTATTTAATCCCGGGTCAGTATATTGATTGGTTGGTTAAAGAGAACAAGATCGGGAGCATGGAAAACAATTTAGAATAACTTGGCTTGAGTCATTTTGTTTTTTTACGATTTATTTATTTATTTGAAAGAATTAGGGAGAGACAGACAGAGGTCTTCCATCTGCTGGTTCACTCCCCAAATGGCCTCAACTGCCAGGGTTGGCCGGGCTGAAGCTGGGATGCAGGAGCTTCATCTGGATCTCTCATGTGGGTGCAGGGGCCTAAAGCACATGGGCCGTCTTCCACTGCTTTCCCAGGCACATCAGCAGGGAGCTGGATCAGAAGTAGAAAAGCCAGGATTCGAACTGGCACCCACATGGGATGCCATCACTGCAGATGATGGTTTAATCAGCTGAGCTATAGTGCCAGCCCTGCTTGAGTCATTTTTTAAAAAATTTTATTCTTAGTTAATTTGCCAATTATTGAAAACATCCAAGTATGTTTCAGAAATCACTGATTTTGGAGGCCTGCACTGTGGCACAGCAGGTTAAAGCCCCAGCTGCAGCACCGGAATCCCATATGGGTGCTGGTTCGAGTCCCAGCTGCTCCATTTCCGATCCAGCTCTCTGCTATGGCCTGCACCCTCCTGGAAGACCTGGACAAAGCTCCTGCTCCTGGCTTCGAATCAGCCCAGCTCTGGCTGTTGTGACTATTTGGGGAGTGAACCAGCAAATGGAAGATTCTCTCTCTGCTTGTTCTTCTCTGTAACTCTACCTTTCAAATAAAGAAATAATGAAATCTTTAAAAATAGAAAAAAATCAATCACTGATTTTATTGAGTATATGCAGGTATTGGAGTAATGTACATAATGTGGAGAAGGCAAAGTTTTGGTTTTTGACGAAGTTATGGAGAGAGCATCATTAAGCATCCACAAGTTTTTACTGTGTGTCTTAGTGATGCCAAGTTTCAGGTCTTGTTCAGACAGGTAGTCTTTAAGCCGAATATAAACTGATTTTTAAAAATCCTAAATGTATAAGGTTAATGATAAGTTTAATCACCTATATTCTGTACAATTACCTTGAGAAAGCAGAATTTTGAGTCTGTCATCAGTTGGAGTGACAATCCCTTTCTGCTGTATTTCTGTATTATGTATTTAAAAGTCACGTGGTAGGAGGGAGGGAGAGAGAGTGCACATGCATATGCTGAACGTTCCTTCCCCAACCCTTGCAGCCCTCCCTTCACCTCCTCCCCAGGTACTCATTAACAGGAAGCTGGATTGGAAGTGGAGGCAGGAATCCATCTCAGGAACTCTGATACAGAATGTGGGCATCCCAAGCTGTGGCTTAACCCTCTGGGCCATAATGCCTACTCCCTCTTCCAGCCTTATATCTTCTATGGATTTCTGGAGTTTCTAAGTCATTGATGCTGTGTTAAGTATTTCAGGTCCACTAATGTGATCCTTCGACACACTGTCGAGACTTGTCTTTTGACTCTGGTACTCCGGGTTTGTACAGGCCAGCCAACAATGAAAAGTCATCTAACCAACCTGTTCTGCATGTCTTCCCACTGGAGCTTAGGCTTAGTGAGAATAGTGCTGTCTCCTGTTCTCATGTATCCCACATATTTAGAACAGAGATTGAGACATGGTTGCTGTTCAGTAAATGACTTTGTCAGATGCCTTGCTGAGAACATTTTTGTCTCCATAGTGTTCCCCCTTATTGCAAAATGAAACTAAAATTTGTGCCAACCGAATACTTTTTGACTTTTTTGCAGAAAAGGAAGTGGAAGAGCTGTTTGAAACTGTGAGTAATGCTTTTTGAGTGAGAACATGGGATGGTGAAAGTAGATTGTCCAGCAAATTTGTCCTTTGGTCCTGGGCTCCTCCCTCCAGAAGTGGGGTCTGACTGAGCTGTTCTCTTTCTTGTCCACCCAGCAAGGAATGTAGTGGGAAGAGAACTTTGCTAACTAGTAAGCTCTTGATTATTTATACGTAGATTATTCTTAGTAAATATTTTCCTTGTAAACTTCTGATGGCCTTTCCTGTAAGTTATACAACCTTAAAAATTGCCAACTAGTTTTAGACCACTCTGAGCCTTTTTCATAAGTTTGTCTCTTAACACATTTCTGTGTGAGAGGTTGATTTTTTTGTTATCTGAATTCTGTCCTTACCATTGCAAATGCCTGAAAGCCTTGTTTCTGGCATATTAGTTATTGCATGTTTGGCCTTGTAAGAGTTCTGAATTAAGGTTATAATGCATTCTGGGTGCCAGAATGCTTAGTCTTTTTTTTTTTTTTTTTTTTTTTTTTTTTTTTTAAAGATTCATGTGTTTGAAAGTCAGAGCTACAGAGAAAGAAAGAGATAGAGAGATTGATCTATGCTCTATACACTGGTTCACTCTTCTGATGGCTGCAAAAGCCAAAGCTGAGCCAGGCCAAAGCTAAGAACCCACAACTCCATCTGTGTTTCTCACCTGGGAGCAGTGGACCAATTGCTTGGGCCATCTTCTACTGCTTTCCCAGGCCATTAGCAGGGAGCTGGATCAGAATGGGAGCAACCAGGACTCAAACTGGTACCCACATGGGATGCTGGCACTCCAGGCAGTGGCTTTACCTGCTCGGTCACAATGCCAGCCCCAAAGTTTTGTAGTCTAGTTTTCAGTTCCCCTTGTCACTGGTGGAATCACTTCCTAGGCCATTCTCTAAAAAAAGGCTCCTTTTCTTCCCCCACAGTTCCAAGATGAGATGGGATTCTCCAACATGGAAGATGACGGCCCAGAGGAAGAGGAGCACGTGGCTGAGTCTCGGCCTAACTTTAACACCCCTCAAGCCTTACGGTAGGCCAGCCAAGGACCTTGAGACGTAGAATTCAGGAAACGGTGTTCATGAAATGCAGTAACACGTTCCCATCATCAAGGCGCTTCTGTGGTGATGTAAATATGCAGAGTCCTGTGGCAAGTGAGGAGTCAGGCAGAGAGTCTCCTTATTATGGGACAGTGCAGCTGTAGACCAAGCTGTGTCTGTTTGGGAAGGGAGAAAGAACAGTAGCTGGCATCCAGAGCAGCTTCTCCAGATGAGTGTGCTGGAGAAGTGTGTAGGACTGTGTGGCCAGCCACAGAAACCACCCCAAATCAGAATATCCAGCGTGTCCCCTTTTAGGCCGTGTTTGTCATGAGCATCAGGGGAATGTTACTGATGGTTTGTCAGTCACCTTGGCATCAGTGGGGCGAACCGTGAGGCACCTGCAGTGATGCTCCTGGAGTCTGAGTCTCGTGTTGTTGACGTGTCTGTTATGTCAGCTGTAGAGCGAAGGCTGTAGTCTTTCTCCCAGTTACTGTGGAGCATTTGTGTCTGTTCTTTAATCTGTTATGGTCCAGTGTGACTAGAGGGCGAGATGTAGTTTGTGCTGCGGGTGGCACACAGCAGTTGGCAGAATTGGGGTTCATGGTGAAAGGACATTGTGCAGGCTGTCTCAGCACACCGTTTGAAGGCGTAAGATGTGTTGTGGACTTAAGGAAATCTTCGTTTATCTCCTTTTGGGGGTAGGTTTGAGGAACCACTGGCCAACTTGCTAAATGAACAACATCGGACTGTGAAGGAGCTCCTCGAACAGCTGAAGATGAAGAAATCTTCAGCTAAGCCGCAGCAGGAGGTAGAGAGGGTCAAGCCTCGGGCTGAGAAAGTTCCTCAGACTCTGATTCTGGACCCAGCACAGAGGAAGAGGCTGCAGCAGCAGATGCAGCAGGTGAGACTCTCCTTGCTCATGTGTGTATGGATTATCGCACTAGCTTTTGACACTGAAGTCCAAAGTACGCAACCTCGTAAAAATGACAGGCGGGTGTCTTGCTACCCTTGGAAGCTGTGGACCCTCAAATGTTGACATCTTAATCACCCAAGAGTCATCATGTTTGTGCCCTTGTGGCTCAGGCAAGAAATTCTGATGGTATTCAGAATTACAGACTTTTAAAGAGTCCTTTGTAACCCATTCTGGAATGGAAGAGCCTCACTGCCAGAGGTGGTGTTTGCTTCCGTCTAACTCATTCGTTCTGGGTTTGTCATTTGGCTTAAGGAAACAGTGTCTTGGAGATTGATGCCAAGATCCTTTGCTCTGGTGGGCTCTCCAGAAAGCAAAATGTGCGATACAGTTGCAGGTGTCTTAGGAAGAGCTCCCTGGTTCCTGAAATGGCAACGGCGCGTCACCTTGTTTTTTTTTTCCCTCCCCAGCATGTTCAGCTCTTGACGCAAATCCACCTTCTTGCCGCCTCCAACCTCAATCTCAGTTCAGAGGCCAGTACCACCAAGATATTTCTTGTAAGCTTCCAGATATCCCTAATGATAAATTAATTTGAGTATGAATTCAGGTTGGCAGGGGTGGGCTTTGTGGCAGCGTGGACAAAGCCACTGCTTGGGATGCATCTTAAACCTTCGTTCTGCCCTGGGGAGTGGACAGTGCATCCACAAACTGAGGACCAGTCAGTCCAATAAAACAGAAGTGAGTGAATGCATCACAGAAACAGCCCTGAGTCCCCGAGGGCTCACTGAAGAGCAGTCTTTGTGGGACAGTGTAGTAGGAAGGCAGCCTCTGAGAGGTGGAGGGACCGGGATTTAGTATTCGATGTCCACTGTGTCCTTTTTCTCAGAAAGAGCTGGGAATGTTTGCTCAGAGCTCCGTCGCCCTTCACCATCAGTTCAACCCCAAGTTTCAAACCTTGTTCCAACCCTGTAATTTGATGGGAGCTATGCAGCTCATTGAAGACTTCAGTACACACGTCAGCGTTGACTGGAGTCCTCGCAAAACTGTGAAGAAGACTGGTAAGGAACAGTTGTTAACTTCAAGGTGTTTCTTGCAGTGAGACTTGGAGTCTTATCCCACAGAACATTTCCAGGGATGATTTCCTAGGAAGGAAGATCATAGGATATTCATAGTTCTTGCTTCTGACTTTTATCCTCCGTTTGTACTTACTTTTGAGGTTCTAGAATTACATGGTAATATTTGGGCTTAGGTAAGGCATGGAGGCAGTGGGCAGCAGGGTAGCGAGTGAAAGAAAGAAATGTGGAGTCAGAGCTAAGAATTGGACTTGAATGATAAGGGCTTAAACGTAAGCAGTGAGATCCCCATAGACGGGGTGGTTACCGATGGATGTTTAGTGGTAAAGTTTGATCATGTTTTGATTTTTCTTTAAGATCAGCTCATTCCCATAGTGATTATAGGTTAGGTATCTACAGTTTGAATGAAATGGATTGTTTCCATTGAATTTCCAATGAAATTGATGGATTGTTAAGCACAATGTTTTTAAGAAATTTGCAAATTTCATTTCTACCTTGATTTAGGTTAGTCATCTTTGAGAAAATATATGCTGTTCACTGTAAGCCAGGTGTTTGTTTCTGATTTGTTTCCTGGTTTAGTCAAGTACTTGTGATTTGTTTTGAATTGGATTTGTCTTTGGATTTGATTTAAAATCTCTCAATCTTTTCTTTTTTCAAATCTTTGAATCTTATTAAATTGAATATAAGAGTGCTGTTCAAAAAGTTCATGGAAAATCTATATTATGAAAAAGTAACATGGATTTCAGCATTTTTTGCAAGGAAGTAAACTTTTATTTTTTGATGTAAATGAGCATATCTTTATTAAATATCTATAGTGAATCATTTTGTGATCATTGAAATACATTTGTTTTTAAAGATTTTATCTTGGGGCTAGTACTGTGGCATAGTGGGTTAAGGTGCCTCTTGCAGTGCTGGCATCCCATGTGGACACCAGTCCCAGACCCAGCTGCTCTACTTCAAATCCACCTCTCTGCTATGGTCTGGGAAAGCAGTATAAGTATATTTGGGCCTCTGCACCAACATGGGAGACCCAGAAGAAGTTCCTGGCTCCAGGCTTCGGACTGCCCGAGCTTTAGCTGTCGTGGCCATTTGGGGAGTGGACCAGTGGATGGAGAACTTCTCTCTCTTTCTGTAACTCCGCCTTTCAAATAAATAAATAAATTTTAAAAAGATTTTATCTTTTGTTTTTTCCATGAACTACTTGAAGTGCATTCTGTCTTAGACATTGATTGTGAACTACTCTAAAAAGTTTATGTTGCAAATAGATATTTAATAACAAACTATAGTAGTAACTTACAAGTCTATGTGGCTTTATTTTTCTTCCTGGGATATAAAAATAATACCTGTGGAAAGAGTAAAATGGATGCAGTAATTCCTTTCTTTGGAAGACAGAGGTGCTTGAATTATCGCATTTCTTTCATGGTTTTTTTTGTTCCTAACTTCAGAAGGAATCTTTATGAAATTTAATTAAGAATTAAATAAGAATAACATTTGGAACAGCAGATTTGTGAGGAATAATGGAGAAATGGAATCTTTTTTTTTTTTTAAGAGTTGTTTATTATTTGAAAGGCAAAGTTACAGAGAGGCAGAGAGAGTGAGAGAGATGTTTTCTATCCGTTGGTTCACTCCACAAATGGTCGCAACAGCCAGAGCTGGGCTGATTCGAAGCCAGGAACCAAGAGCTTCTTCCAGGTCTCCCTTGAGAGTGCAGGAGCCCAAGGAATTGGGTCATCTTCCACTGCTTTCCCAGGCAGAGAGCTGGATAGGAAGTGGAGCAACTGGGGCTTGAACTGGCATCCATTTGGGATGCTGGTGCTGCAGGCCAGGGCTTTAACCTGCTGCGTCACAGTGCCGGCCCTGAGAAGTGGAATCTTATCCTGGAAGAAAGATAGCCTTGTTGAAAGCCTCTTATCCTTCAAGGATTTAAAGGCGAAAGGAGATGAATATACTTTGATCATCCACTCCATGCCAGGTTATTACCAGGTGCTTGGCAAGTGCTTGTTACTTAGTGTGTTAAGTGTTCACATAGAAAAGAATGAGACTCAGTTTTTCCTGGTATCAAATCCCTTTAGGCATGTATGAGGTTGGGAAAGACTGGAAATTTTGGGGGTGGGGTGGATGGTTGGGAGAGGATCAGATTAGACAAAGGCAGCTCTACCTAAACGCAGATGTGCATTCACAACGTTTTGTGAAGCCCTCCTGTGTCCTAGATTCTGTTTGTCACAGGTATTTCTTCTTACAGCTTCTGAATTTCCCTGTTTGCCAAAGCAAGTGGCTTGGATCCTGGCCACCAGCAAGGTTTTCATGTATCCAGAGCTACTTCCGGTGTGTTCCCTGAAGGCAAAGAATCCCAAGCATAAGATGACCTTCACCAAAGCTGAAGACAAGTAAGTGTTGACGTGGGGAATCGGAACAGGCTGTCCCCAGGAAAATACAGAATTCTTGAGGTGCTGAGGAAGAAAGTAGGACGGGTAGACTAAGTCATGGACACAAAAGGAAGCACAGGTGCATGGGTTCATAGTGTGTGCCAGATACTGCTCTTCCCGTTTTTGAAACATTTAAATCATCACTGTATCTTTTATTTATTGTAAAACCAATCATGTAATGCTATTGAAGAAAATCTTTCTAAGAAAAAACTTTTTATCTGTTTTCCTACTGCCCGAAAATAATGTTTTTTCTCTTTACATTTCTTATAGAGTATAATAATTTTTAATATAACTGTCAGTTTAAGAAAGTTTTATTTTTTCAGTGTAACATTGTTGAAGTGTTTTCCTATGATTTGACATTGTTTGGATTTTTTTTTTTTTGTTATCTTTTAAAGCATGCCTAATACCTCTACAGTAAATTTCTTTATTGGCTATTTTGATTTGTTTTTCTATTGTTAGTAAGGTTTCACAAGGGAACCTTTGTTTGAGTGGGTTCATTTCCACAAGTGAGATGATTATCTATAAAGATTCTAAACATGCTTCTGGTTCTTGGTTAATATTGCCAAACTGTCATCAGCACATCTATACATTTCTACCTGGAATTGTATGTTAGGGGGTAGTGCTGGTGCTCATTTCTAATCATTTTCCTTCCTTCATATTCCTTTGAATTCCATTTGTATCTTGTCATTTTTTAATGATTTATTCCCAGTTTATTCCTACTTTATTATGAATTCCTGATTTTTGTTTGTTTTAAAGATTTATTTATTTGAAAGGCAGAGTTATAGAGAGAGTGGGAGAGACAGAGAAAAAGAGAGAGCTCTTCCATCTGCTGGTTCGCTTTCCAAACAGCCCCAGGCAGGGCTGGACAAGACCAAATCCAGGAGCCAGTAACTTCATCTGGGTCTCCCACATGGGTGCAAGGGCCCAAACACTTAGTCCATCTTCTGCTGCTTTCCCATGCACATTAGCAGGGAGTTGGATTAGAATTGGAACACCTGGAACTCGAAATGGCACCCATATGGGATGGGATTCAGGTGGAGCAGCAGCCAGCCTCTTCTGATTTTTATTCACAGCACTTATTAGCATTCACACATGTGTGATGTTTGGATTATCCAACAACTTGTACAAGAACTGGATAGAAAAAGTAGATTGTTAAAAGTGTGTAGTTAGTTTGGGGAAGGGTTTTAGACAAAAGAAGTCAGGTTTCGTGTCATTGGTCCTTTCTCAGTTTGTTAGCTTTAGGACTGAAGCATTTTGAGGGGACTGAATTTCCTAAGCCACTCATCAGCAAGTATCTCCTGACCTGCAAGACTGCCCACCAACTGACGGTGAGAATCAAGAACCTCAACATGAACCGAGCTCCTGACAACATCATTAAGGTGAGTGCTTCCTGCGTGCTCCACCTCGGTACTCCACCTGGGCGCCCTGCGTGTGCTGGGCTCCGTGTCAAGAGGGATTTCCTTTTACCTAAGGCTGATTCCTCTCACCTTTTTTTTTTTTTTTTGATATAAAAATTTGAAACCCATTCCTAGCTTCTATCATGGTATCCATTTTCTGTGAACTTTTTGAAAATCTTTTCATAAAATTGTTGAAAGATTTTATAAATCTGGATTTGTCTTTTTTTTTCTTTTAGTCTAACCTTGAAAGGGTAGACAGTATTCTACTTATATCCTTGTACTTAACTGTTCTTTTTTATTTAGATAATTCTATCAAAGTTATTCAGTAGTTATTTTTCTTTTTACTAAGATTTACTTGTTTATTTGAAAGATTTACACAGGGAGTGGGGAGATCCTCCATCTGCTAGTTCACTTCCCAAATGGCTTCTTCAGCAGGTTTCACTTGATCTTTCTCATTAACCGGTTTTTGATTCTAGCTTTCCTTCCACTTGTTTAGATAAACAGTGTGTCCCTCTTTTGCTCCCTGCAGTTGTTGCCACTGCCACCACCTCCCAGCTTATTCCTGTGCCCTCTGTCTCTTTGAATGACATAACTGTCTAGCCGTACTCGCCATCTGCACGCCTGAGTGTTAGCCTCGACTCTTTTGCTCTGTCACCATCATATGTGGTCAGTCACTTTTCTTAGTTTTCTTATTTGCTACTTTTCCCATTGCCTTAGTTCAGGCTGCTGTTATAGCTAGATTAATGCAGTAGATTTTTTTATACTATTTATTGGAAACACAGAGTTACAGGCATGCAGAGGCAAAGAGAGAGAGAGAGAGGTCTTATATCCACTGGTTCACTCAACAGCTGGCTTCAGTGGCCAGAGTTGCACTGATCCAAAGCCAGGAAATAGGAGCTTTTTCCAGGTCTCCCCCGCGGGTGTAGGGTCCCAAGGACTTGGGCCATCTTCTGCAACTCAGACGGGTGCACTTATGGGATTCTGGCAATGCAGGTGGTGGCTATACCTGCTACACCACTGCGCCAGCCCCAATATAGTAGTTTTAATTTTTTTTATTTTATTTGAAAGGCAGCGAGAGGTCATCAATTTGCTTGTTCACTCCCCAGATGCCCACAGTATCTAGGACTGGACCAGGCCAAAGCCAGGAGACAGGAAGTCAATTCAGGTCTCCCACGTGGGTGGTAGGCACCCAAGTACTTGAACCATCATCTGTTGCTTCCTAGGGTGTGCGTTAGCAGAAAGATGGAATTGGAAGTGAAGCAAGGTACATAAATGGAGGCACTATGATGTGGGATATGAGCATCTTGCCAAGTGCAGTTTTAACTGCTGTACCAAATGCCTGCCCCAAAATGCTGGTTTGCTAACTGGTGTCTGATTCTGGTTCCATTGATCCCATCCTCATCCCTCCCTTAGCCTTCTCTGATTCTTCAGGGTGTAGACAGCGTGCTTGGTGCGGCATGGAAGGCCTCTGCCCTGCAATGTATCTATGGAGCTTCATACTCCTTTAGTTGTAGCCAGACCAGTCTCTTTTATGTGTCTTAAGATGCATTCATGATTTTAAGATTTAGTATACTTTGTCCTCCTCTGCCTGACATAGCAAATTCCATTCCATTAGGAGTCATCTGTTGTTCTTGCTGTGGAAAATATTTTTTGTCCCAGTTGTGTGTCTTTTGTGTCACTTTTTTTTTTCATTTAAAGATTGATTTATATATTTGAAAGGCATAGTGACAGAAAGGAGAGACAGACCATCCATCTTCTAGTTTACTTCCTAAATGGTCACCATGGCTGGAGCTTGGCCATTCCCAAGCCAGAAGCCTGGAACTTCAGCTGTGTTTCCCACAGGGTTGGCAGGGGTCCAAGCACTTGAGCCATCTTCTGCTGCTTTCCCAGGGAAAATAGCAGGGAGCTAGATGGGAGCAAAGCTGCTGAGACACAAACTAGCATTCTGATATGGAATGCTGGCATCTCAAGTGACAAACCCTTTGTGCCACAACCACGAATACTTTGTGCTTTTTTCAGTTAAAATATCATTACTGATCTACTTGATGTATCTCCCACTGGTCTGTACACTACTTGAGAGGAGGAATGGCTTCTCCTGTCTGTGTGTGTTGGTTGAAGCCTTGCACATGGAGGGCATCCCAGCATATGTTGGATGAGTAGATAATTTTTGTCAGTATTGTATTGTCAGTGGTTTAAGTTTAGTTCTCCTTTTCACTTACCCTTAAAGCTGAACCTTAGTCTTTTTTTCCCTTCTCTTCTGACATCCTTCCTGTCATCATTTGCTTAAAAGGAAACTTTCACGTGTCCAAGATGAGGTTTGAGGCACTCTTTGCACCTGCTAAGTGGGATCAAATCTTATGGAAGATTATTCTAACCTGCTGCTTTTTTTTGTCTGTGACCTAAACTCTTCCCTTCCTAGCAATTAGAATGGAGATCCTTAGTCCAGAAGTTTTGAGCAATTTAAAAGTCTTTATTAGAGATTAGTTTAAATTGAAATCCCAAATCACTAAGCATATGCTTTTTTAAAGTGTATGGATGGGCTGGCGCTGGGGCTCACTAGGCTAATCCTCCGCCTTGTGGCACGGGCACACCGGGTAGTAGTCCCGGTCGGGGCACCGGATTCTGTCCCGGTTGCCCCTCTTCCAGGCCAGCTCTCTGCTGTGGCCAGGGAGTGCAGTGGAGGATAGCCCAAGTGCTTGGGCCCTGTACCCCATGGGAGACCAGGAGAAGCACCTGGCTCCTGCCATCAGATCAGCGCGGTGCGCCGGCCGCAGCGCACCAACTGTGGCGGCCATTGGAGGGTGAACCAACAGCAAAGGAAGACCTTTCTCTCTGTCTCTCTCTCTCACTGTCCACTCTGCCTGTCAAAAAATAAATAAATAAATAAAGTGTATGGATATTCATGTGTGCCTGTATATCTCAAACAGCAGGCCATGTTTCTTGGAGGAAGGTAAGGTGTGTCTTGTTTCTTCCTGCCCAGTTTTATAAGAAGACTAAGCAGCTGCCTGTCTTACTGAAGTGCTGTGAGGAGATCCAGCCACATCAGTGGAAGCCACCGGTGGAGAGGGAAGAACACCGCCTCCCCTTCTGGCTAAAGGTACAGCCCTCCTCCAAGGCTGTTGGGAATGGAAGGACACAGAATTCTGGGAGAAATTTCCAGGGCTCCTTTAAGCTTCTAACATTTTACTAATAGATAGAACTAGGACTTCAGCAATCTTCCTCATTTCTTTTCCCTTGTCAGTTTTCTGCCTTTCCCCCAGGTGAGTTTCTAGAACCTTTTCAAAACTATAGGTATAATAATAATTTGCTGAAGAAACTTCAGCAACTAGTTTCTAGAGCATATAATTAGAATGTTGTCTTTGTAGAAAGTTGGTATGCGGAAAAACCCATCTTGGAAAGGTCTCCTGAGCCTGTATTGCAGAGGTCCCTAATCTAGAAAGCTGTGTTCTTTGTCGCGAACTGTTACACGCGCGGGATCAGAGTGTTCTTGCTCCCCACAGGCCAGTCTGCCATCCATCCAGGATGAACTGCGCCGCCTGGCTGGTGGTGCGAGAGAGGCAGGCAACGGGACTGGAACCGCTGAGATCGGCGCAGAACAAGGACTGGAGAAAAACGGAGCAGAGCTGGGAAGTGAAACTCAGTACCCACTGCTGTTGCCCAAAGGTGTAGTCCTGAACCTAAAGCCAGTTGCCAACCGGTTTTCCAGGAAGGCTTGGAGACAGAAGCGGTCATCAGTGCTGAAGCCCCTCCTTATCCGACCTAACCCCTCTCTCCAGCCTGGCTTCAACCCTGGGAAAACTCCAGCCCGGTCAACGCAGTCAGAAGCCCCTCCCAGCAAAATCGTGCGGATCCCTCACCTGATCCATCCGGCCACTGGCACACCAGCAGTTCCCGGTGTCTCTCCGCTGGGGATCAGTGGGACTGATAGTTTTGAATCATCGACAGCACTGCCTACTATGTCCTTGGAGGCCAGGCCCAGCTTCCCTCTGTCTGATAGCCAGACTGTGCTCTCCTCTGCCCCCGTGCCCAAGATAATGCTGCCTTCACTTGGTCCATCCAAGTTCAGAAAGCCATGTGTTAGACGGAGATCCTCAAAGCGAAAGGGTTCCAAGTCTTCTCCCTGTCTGAAAACCGCCCCCTTAATCTCCCCCCCACCAGTTATCTTTACCGTTCCTGCCACCACCGTGAAGGTTGTGAGCCTGGGCAGTGGCTGTAACGTGATCCAGCCTGTTAATGCAGCTGTGGCCCAGAGCCCCCAGACCATTCCCATCACCACCCTCTTGGTTAACCCTACTTCCTTCCCCTGTCCACTGAACCAGCCCCTCGTGGCTTCCTCCATCTCACCCTTAATTGTTTCCAGCAACTCTGTGAATCTTCCTGTACCACCCACCCCTGAAGATGAGGCCCATGTGAATGTGGACATTGCTTGTCCTTTGGTTGAAGGGCAGAGTGCCTTTCAAAGCCCAGTGCCCAAATTGGAACCCCAGGAACTATCTCCTGTGTGTGCAACTGTCTTCCCCAAAGAGGAGCGCAGCCCAGGGCCTCCAATAGCAAACAGAGAAAGCCAGGAAGGACTGTCAGAGAACTGTGCCTATTGGACTATTGTGAAAACAGAGGAGGGGACGCAAACGCTGGAGCCTCTGCCTCCGCGCCTCCAGGAACATCTGAACTCTGCCCCCGGGGGTCTGGATGGAACGGTCAAGGTGGAACCTGAAGATGCCGGGGAGGAAGTCTCCAGTGGACCCCCTGTGCAGGACGTTTGTGATGGAGTCAAAGAAGAGCACTCCGTGGAAATGGACATTGTCTCTGCAGGGGAGGGGTCGAGCAGTGCCAGGGACGTGAAGAAACAGACAGTGATACGGAAGGAGGGGGAGAAGGGCCCACCAGCTAAAGCCCCTTCAGCCTCTCAGGAGCCTGCTGATGAAGGGAACTCTGGGGAAGTGAGCAGATCGCCACAGAAGGCCTTGTCCTCCGTGGACCCTGAAATGCTGCATAGCAGCACCCCTGGGAAGCCCGAAGACTCCTCCACCGTCGATGGGCAGTCAGCGGGGACCCCTGCTGGGCCAGAAGCTGGAGGACAGAAGGATGGGCCTGAGGAAGAGGAAGAGGAGGACTTTGATGACCTCACTCAGGATGAGGAAGAGGAGATATCATCGGCGTCTGAGGAATCTGTGCTTTCGGTTCCTGAACTCCAGGTGAGAACCAGGAAATGAATGTTGGGGTTTGTGCACTCACTGTTGGGTTACATTTGTTGATTTGCCACCTGCTTGCTGCACTAGAGAGAATCCTACCACCATTTGTATAGCAGTGCTTCAAGAGTTAGTGGAAAATGGAATTAAAGTTATCAGTTTATTTTGCTGCAAAGATTTTGAAGTCCATTCATGCTTTTATAAATATATAAAAAAATATAAATATAAATACACGTTTTTGATTTGATAGCCACACTTACAGAATTTTTAAATCAGCACGCAGGACATAATTTTGGGGTTGAAATGAAATGAGAAGGTAAGGCTGACATTTCTCTTATTGTATTTAAACTCATTTCAATATCCAGTTGAATTATCTGAGTGTATTTTAAATGTGTTTAGAAAATAGCTCACAAGTGAGCTGTGGCTAAGAAAACCTCTTGGCGATGGCTGAGGACCTTTCAGAAAACAGTCCTCTTCCTCAGTGCTGCTGGCATTTCTCCTCCCATCCCCGCTGGCCCTGAGGTTCCACACAGCTGGGACTCCTGCTGCTCCTCACAGGTGTGGGGGCCCGCTCTTTATCGTAGGAGCCCTGGTACAGCTCTGTGAGCTGGGAGCTGTAGTGAGCCTGCCGGAGCCATTGTGAGTGCTCTTTGGGGGTTGCAGGAAACTATGGAGAAGCTGACTTGGCTGGCATCTGAAAGGCGCATGAGTCAGGAGGGGGAGTCTGAGGAAGAGAACTCCCAGGAGGAGAACTCCGAGCCGGAAGAGGAGGAAGAGGAAGAAGCCGAGGGGATGGAGAGCCTGCAGAAAGAGGACGAAATGACTGATGAGGCGGTTGGAGACGCTGCCGAGAAGCCCCCTTCCACCTCCGCCTCCCCCAAGACGGCTCCGGAAGTGGAGGCCAGCAGAGCCCCACCAGGTGAGTCGGTCAGGCCGGTGCCGAGGGCTGGGTCTCACGTGGCCTTCCCATCTACAGTGGGTGGCTGTAAAGCCGCTGGAGGATCCCGGAGGGGATCTACTGGCTCTCCCCTGCGTCCGCCCTTCCCCAGAACACATGGTTCACGTGGCGCCTCTGCAGAGAAGAGACGCTCAGGAACTTCTCCTTTTATTGCGCTGACAGCTAGATAAGTTCGCGCAGGTGTTTGAACTGTTCTCACCTGACTGTCCTGTGTGAGGCCCCGTGCCCTGTTTATCTCAGAAAACAGTGCATGTTCCTCATGAAGACATAGCCTGTGGCAAGAACAGCACAGAGCCGCACTCACTCTGTAGCTTCCTTTCTCAATGTGCAGTGGCCGCTACCTCCTGGTCATGCCACGTGGTGCACTTGCACTGCACAGACACGGAGCTGACTCGGCTGAGCCAGGCTTACCTCTCACACCACGTCTCCTGCACGATTTTCTCCGAGTGGCTCCATAGCATTGAGCAGCTTTGCACGGCTGGTGCATGAGGTAGAATGGGGAGAGCAGAGGTTACAGGGCCCTAGAAACCATCTTTGTCACATGTACTCCAAGGCGAGAGCATCAAAGCTGCTGCAAAGAGCCGGACCAGTCATCGATCTCGCAACAAGCGGGGAAGTCGTGCTCGAGCCAGCAAGGACACCTCCAAGCTGCTGTTGCTGTATGATGAGGACATTCTGGAGCGGGATCCACTCAGGGAGCAGAAGGACTTGGCCTTTGCCCAGGCCTATCTGACCAGGGTAAGCAAATGCTGCTTTCTATTCCTGCGAGTCCATATGAATGTGACTGCTCCTCCTTTAAGGGTTGTGTTTTGAAAACGAAGCCTGTTTTCAGCGTTGCACACCAGGCTTTGTGTGCCTCTGCCTTAGCTTTCCTGACATCGCCAGAGAACCACAAGGAGACACCAAGTTCCAGCCTAAGTGTGTTTGCTGTTTGTTCCCAAGCAGGATCCCTGTGTTGCCCAGAGACTGTGGGACAGATGACACCAGTCTTGTTGGGTTAGGGGAAAGGATGGGAGTTGTAATTTCCCTGGGAGACCTAATAAAATCGTTTACTGAGCCCTGGCTCCAGAGGAAATAGAGTTGGTGCACTGACTAGACTGGATCTCAGGGAGGGTCCTTGATCTTCAAACATGAACCAGCATGTTTTTTATGGTGTCCTGGATACCCTTTTCCTTTTGTTGATAGCCACCTGTGTCCTTTTTCCCGCTGCAGAGTACACTAGTACTCTAGTAAACTAGTACACTAGTTTATCTCCTTGTGTTTTTCTAACATCCCAGATTTATGTAATAGTTACCACCAAATATGTGTGCAAATCATTCCTCAGATCTTTTATTACGGGACTGGAAGCAGGAAGGAGAGGTTAAGACTGTGTCCTGGAGAAAAGCACTACCTGGTTTCCTAGGGAGGACCGTGGTCCCTGGAGAATGCAGATTTTTTGTTCCAGAGAAAGTTTGCCTTGCTCCATGCCTGTGTCTTCCATCGGCCGTCAGCCCTGGAGGTGTCAGTCTCTGAAGGCTCGTGCTGAAGCTCTCTAACCATAACCTCCTTCCTGCTGGGACCCAAAGAAAGGGCATTGATGACTCAGTCTTCCCGTGCAGGTTCGAGAAGCTCTGCAACATTTCCCAGGCAAGTACGAGGACTTCCTTCAGGTCATCTACGAATTTGAGTCCAGCACTCAGAGGCAGACAGCTGTGGATCTCTACAAAAACCTGCAGATTCTGCTCCAAGACTGGCCTCAGCTGTTGAGGGACTTTGCTGCTTTCCTGTTACCCGAGCAAGCTCTGGCCTGTGGCTTAGTAAGTAGATGGTGGGCACAGAAGGTCACAGGACTCCCAGGGCAGAGCAAGGGCAGGATTGGATGCAGTGAGGAAGCCTGTTGCAGGCACCTAGCCTTCCCCAGCCCAATGTGATAAGAGCATGTGTGGTGTCCAGGGATCATCTTCCCACCTCCGTTGTTTGCATGGCGCATGAGGGGGTTTCACCTTGACCTCTAGTTGCTAATGGAGACCTTAAGTAATGACCTAAGAGCACTTCAAAACGTTCTTGGAAAATGGAACAAAAGCCAACTTTATTTTTATGCAAGAGTTTTTTTGCAATCCATGCATAGTTGTTTTTTTATAATAGTTCCATGAACTTTTCTAACATTTAACTTCTTATAATTCTCCATTAATTTTTCAGAGACCCCTTTTATTTTTTTGTTGTTCCTCAGAGAAATTCTTTAACAAATATTTTTCAAAATTGTTTTTCATTTTATTTGAATGGAAGACAGACACAATGAGCTGTTTCATCTACTGGTTCATTCCCCAGTTCATTCCCCAAATGACTGCAGCAGCTGGGGCTCCACCAGGTTGAGCCAGGCACCGAGAACTACAATTGGGTCTCCCCTGTGCTTGAGCCGTCACCTGCTGCCTTCCATTATGTGCATTAGCAGCAGCCTGGGTTGGACGTTGAGTTGTGGGACTTGATCCAGGCACTGTGACATGGAATGCTGATGCTCCCTAACTGCTGTGCCACTCACCCCACCTTTAACAGATATTTGCTCAGTCCCTACTATGTGTCTGACATAGTTGTAGGTGCTGGAAATACAGTAGTTAAAAAAGGCTAAGATCGGGCCGGCGCCGTGGCTCAATAGGCTAATCCTCCGCCTTGCGGCACCAGCACACTGGGTTCTAGTCCCGGTCGGGGCACCGGATTCTGTCCCGGTTGCCCCTCTTCCAGGCCAGCTCTCTGCTGTGGCCAGGGAGTGCAGTGGAGGGTGGCCCAGGTCCTTGGGCCCTGCACCCCATGGGAGACCAGGAGAAGCACCTGGCTCCTGCCATCGGATCAGCGCGGTGCCGGCCACGGCGGCCACTGGAGGGTGAACCAACGGCAAAGGGAAGACCTTTCTCTCTGTCTCTCTCTCTCACTGTCCACTCTGCCTGTCAAAAAAAAAAAAAAAAAAAGGCTAAGATCCCTGACCTCGTGGAACTTGGCATTCTCATGGGGAAAGTCCTGAGATAATCTGTGAAATATGTATGTGCATGTCGTAAATATATACATTGTATATCTTATGAAAAAGGTAGCAAATGGTAAGATACAGCGTTTATAAGTATGCTTTATAGAGTGAGGCCAAGAGGAGGCCTAGGGGGTGTTGGTAAAGTGAGTGAGGGCCTGCTGTGTGCAGTTTTGTGATGGCGGCTGGGCAGGTGCTGTGGTGGACTCAGAGAGGAGATGCTGGGTCTGTGCATGAGGGGACTGGGCTGCAGTAATCTGGGCCTTGGTTCATGACTGAGAAGATCAGGGATAAAGCAAGAACGAGGTTATTCCGATCGTTGTCCTGACAGTTAAATGACATGGGCAGAGGATGCACACGGTACCTATCTTCTCTGCAGGTTGACTGTGAGGACCAGATGAATGTGTGTGTGTGAAAGTTCTGTGTTCGCTGGCGTAGTCTGAGTTTTAGTGCCTGCGTTCACAGTCCACAGAACTGTACACAAAGCGAGCTGTGCCCATCTCTGGAATCTTTCATTCTCACCTTACTCATCTTGGGTTGGTAGTTTCTGGTGACCCACTGGATGGCTGCTAGTGTTCTAAAGATCTCATACCCGTGGGAGTCACTGTTGCACACATACTGTGAGGCCAGGCTGCCTGGGTTCAAATCCTGAGTCAGCACCTAAATGAGGTTCCACAGTTGTCAACTGGAGTGTTGCCGTAATCCATGTGCACAGCTCCTTGTTGTTAGTTCTCATCCTTAGAACCCTCAAGTCCTACTCTAGCTGCAAGAGCACTTTAGAAAGTTTGTGGAGGGGTGGGTGCTCAGTGTAGCTGTTAAGACGCAGCCTGGGACAGCCACACCCCATATCAGAGTGCCTGGGTTTGAATCTTGGCTCCACTCCTGACTACAGCTCCCTGCTGATGTATACTTTGGAAGGGAGCAGATGATGGCCCAAGTACTTTGGGTCCTGCCACTCACGGGAGACCTGGTTGGAGTTCTTGGCTTTGGCCTGGTCCAGCTCTGCTTGTTGTGAGCATTTGGGGAATGAGTGAGTAATCGACATATCTGTCTCCTGATTTACAAATAATTTTTTTTAAGATTTATTTTTATGGGGCCAGTGCTGTGGCGCAGTAGGCTAAGCCTCCACCTGCAGTACTGGCATCCCATATGGGTGCTGGTTCATGTCCTGACTGCTCCTCTTCTAATCCAGCTCCCTGCTGATAACCTGGGAAAGCAGTAGGAGATGCCCCAAGTGCTTGGACCCCTGCACCCATGTGGGTGATGTGGAAGAAGCTCCTGGTTCCTGCCTTCTGATCGGCCTAGCTCTGGCCATTGCGGCCAGTGAACCAGTGGATGGGAGACCTTTATCTCTGTCTCTCCCTCTCTCTGTAAATAAAATCTTCAAAAAGATTTATTATTATTTGAAAGGGAGAGTTACAGAGAGAGGGAGAAAGAGAGACCTTGCATCCACTGCTTCATTCCCCAAATGGCAGCAATAGCTGGGGTTGGGCCAGGCTGAAGCCAGGAGCTTCATCTGGATCGCCCACGTGGGTGCAGGAGCCCGAGTACTTGGGGCATCTTCCGCTGTTCTCCTAGGTGCATTAGCAGGGATGTAGATCAGAAGTGGAGCAGCCAGGTTGCAAACCAATGCCCATAAGGCATGCTGGCTTTGCAGGTGGTGGCTTAACTTGTTATGGCACAATGCTAGCCCCATCAAATAAATTTTTTAAAATGTTTTTATAATGTTTGAAGAAAATGAAATTAAAAGATCAGTTTATTTTGTGGAAGAAAGTTTTTGAATCCATTTGTTGGTTTTTTGAAATTCTCATTATCCATGACCTTTTGGACTCCTCCTTGGCCCTCTTTCCTCTTCCAGTTTGAGGAGCAGCAGGCCTTCGAGAAGAGCCGCAAGTTCCTTCGGCAGCTGGAGATCTGCTTTGCGGAGAACCCCTCCCACCACCAGAAGATCATCAAGGTGCTCCAGGGCTGTGCGGACTGCCTGCCTCAGGAGATCGCCGAGGTAGCTTCCTGTCCTGCTGCCCGCCTGCTGGCATTCCGGCCTCAGGCCCCTCTGCTTCCCCTAGCCTGTCCCATATCTGTTTGCCTCTGGACTCCCATGGCCTTCCTGGGGGAGATGCAGGCAAGGGCATTGGATGCTCACTGAGCATAGAGCACTGGGGTGGGCAGTTTGCCAGCGCCTGTCCTGTTCACAGGCTCAGGAATGTTGTCATTGCCCTGGAAGGGGTGTTTAAAGAAAAGGGGTGACAGGGCCAGGAGGGCCTCCTAGCTGGAGATCAGTGGGGCAGGAGAGGAGCATTGTCATTAGCAATGAGACCTGCTCGTGATGCCCCTCCCCTGGGGCTGAGCCGGCAGGGAGAAGGAGAAAGGAGTTTCAGTCAGCTGTCACAGTGGGCCCCGTCCTCTGTGCTGTTGACTGGGAAAGCAGAATGTGGCAGTGTGGGGTTCGTTGGGAAGGCGGCTGCATGGGCTCTGGAGACACTGTCTTTTCCTACCGCCGCCCTCAGCTCAAGACGCAGATGTGGCAGCTCCTCAAGGGCCACGACCACCTGCAGGACGAGTTCTCCGTCTTCTTTGACCACCTGCGCCCTGCCGCCAGCCGCATGGGGGACTTTGAAGAGATCAATTGGACAGAAGAGAAGGAGTATGAGGTACAGGCCCCGAGGCTGCAGCAGGGTCATGAGGTGGAGGCACGGGTGGGTGTCTGCCTACAGCCTGTGCTGAGTGGCACCAACTCCTCCCCAGTTTGATGGCTTTGAAGAAGTGGCACTGCCTGACGTGGAAGAGGAAGACGAACCTTCCAAGATACCCACAGCCTCAAAGGGCAAACGAAGAAAAGAGATTGGGGTTCAGCATCATGATAAGGTGCGCTAGGGTGTTGAGGGCTACCTGTTTTTCCTGAGTCAAGCCCTGAGTTTTCTGTGGCTTAGTGTGGTGCCAGGCTTTGGGGTCCAGACCTCTCCGATCCAGGTCATTCCAGAACATGGAGGCAGGTCAGGCTGCCGTGGCCTTGCAGAGCCCGCGGGGAACAGCGTGGTTGCCGGAGGGCGCTGATTTCACCAGAAGCATTTGTGTCCCCTCTCCTCTGGTCCAGAGCAGTTTCTCTTACCCCTTGGTCTTCACCTTTTTGTTTGTTCGTGTGAGGAAACACTGGCAGAAACAGCAGTCTTCATATTGCCAATAACAATGGCAGCTAACCCTGAGCTGTGTCACCAAGCATCAGGCATGGCTTGGAAGTATTTTATTTATACAAGTTATTAACTCATTTCATTCTCAGAATAATTCTGTGGGGAGATTGCCACCGATTCCATTTTACTGTAGCGGTAACTCGGGAAGAGTCTGGTGCCAGTCTCGTATTTAGTAAGTGGCGATGCAGGGGTGTGGACCCACGAGCATCTGGTTCTCGAGTCTGTACTCACTGCTGTTCAAGCAGCAGTCTCTTCAATCCGTGTCTCTCTACTTCGCCTTTTCTTTGCCCTGGGGAGAAACTGCTTCCTAGTAGCTCAGTGACCGCCAGCGACTTGGTTCACTTCTCTCTTTTTCAGTTTCTTCATTGGCAATGGGGATGACAGTGGGGCTTATTAAACAGAGTGTCTCTCAGTGGGCAGGGCCCTCTCGCGCAGGATTGCAAGTGAGGGGTAAGCTCAGGCCCAGCGAAACAGAAACCCAAGAAAAGGGAGTCGATTAGACGTGGTCCCTTGGTCCCCGATTGTGCTGGTCTTACGTAGTTCTTGACTCCTGGAACACGCAGTGTTTGGGTCAGAGTTTGTAATAGGCATTAATGTAGCTTGGGCCGCTGACTGTGACGCCCCAGGCAGAGCGATGCCTGGCAAATAGTAAGAGAGAAAGGGTGGGGGTGGTGATGCGTCTTGTTCAGATGCCGCACATCTTCGCTTCCTCTCAGTACTGAAAACACTCAGCAGCTCAGTAAGCCCAGGTATCTCCTAGGACTCTGAGTGGCCAGATGGGGCCAAGGATTGTGCCTGTTCCTGCCACGAGGGAGGTCCTGATTCCAAGCTGAAGAAGAACAAAAAGAAAACTTGTAGCCACTGTAGCAGCAAGGTGAGGAGGGTGGGAGGGGCCCTAGTGCTGGGGAGTCAGAGCTGTCTGGGGTAACCCCAAACCTTGCTGTTTGAAGTATTGTTTGCTGCCACAGATTTACACCTTTTTAAGATAAGTAAACTAGTTGCTACACATATGTAAATAACAGGCAGTACACGCCTCTCCATATGCAAAATAAGTAGAACCTTTCTGAAATCTGTGGTGGATTTTACTTTTTAAAAAGAATCTTGAAATTGGAAAAGAAATCAAGCAATTCAGGTATTTCTGTCTTAGATTTTGTGTGTGTGTTTGTATGAAACCACCACTGTTGGGAACAGACTTTTTCTGGAGGAATTGTGGGCCCAGTGGGTTACGCTCCTGCAGGCAACACCTACATCCCATATGGGCACCGTTAGAATCCCGGCTGCTTCACTTCTAAAGATTGATTTATTGGCTGGCGCTGCAGCTCAATAGGCTAATCCTCCGCCTGCGGCGCCAGCACACCGGGTTCTAGTCCTGGTTGGGGCACCGGTTCTGTCCTGGTTGCTCCTCTTCCAGTCCAGCTCTCTGCTGTGGCCCGGGATTGTAGTGGAGGATGGCCAGGTCCTCAGGCCCTGCACCCGCATGGGAGACCAAGAGAAACTCCTGGCTCCTGGCTTTGGATCAGTGCGATGCATCAGCGCGATGCGCTGGCCGCAGCGGCCACTGGAGGGTGAACCAACAGCAAAGGAAGACCTTTCTCGGCCGGCGCCGTGGCTCACTAGGTTAATCCTCCACCTTGCGGCACTGGCACACCGGGTTCTAGTCCCGGTCGGGGCGCCGGATTCTGTCCCGGTTGCCCCTCTTCCAGGCCAGCTCTCTGCTGTGGCCAGGGAGTGCAGTGGAGGATGGCCCAAGTGCTTGGGCCCTGCACCCCATGGGAGACCAGGAGAAGTACCTGGCTCCTGCCTTCAGATAGGTGCGGTGCGCCGGCCGCAGCGCGCTGGCCGTGGCAGCCATTGGAGGGTGAACCAACGGCAAAGGAAGACCTTTCTCTCTGTCTGTCTCTCTCTCACTGTCCACTCTGCCTGTCAAAAAAAAAAAAAAAAAAAAAAGATTTATTTATTTGCAAATCAGAGTTACACAAAGAGAGGCAGAGAGAGAGAGAGGTCTTCCATCTGCTGGTTTACTCCCCAATTGGCTACAATGGCCAGAGCTGTGCTGATCCGTAGCCAGGAACCAGGAGCCTCTTCCGAATCTCCTTACATGGGTGCAGGGGCCCAGGGACTTGGGCCATCTTCCACTGCTTTCCCAGGCCATAGCAGAGAGTTGATTGGAAGTGGAGCAGCCAAGACTCAAACCGGTGCCCATATGGGATGCCGGCGCTTCAGGTGGCGGCGTTACCTACTACACCACTGCACCGACCCCTGCTTCACTTCTGATTCAGTTCCCTGCTAATGCACCTGGGAAGGCAGCAGAGGATGGCCCAAGTGCTTGTGCCCCTGCATCCATATGGGAGACCTGGATGGCTCCTGTTTTTCTTACGGGCATTTGGGGAATGAACCAACTGATGAAGGCTCCCTCCCTCTCTCTGTCACTCTGCCTCTCAAATAAGTCTTAAGGAAAAAAAAAAAGATAAAAAATGTAATTCTGATTCTCTGTAGGAGTTGGTTGGCAGAAAAAACACAGTCCTCTTAGAGGAAGGGGTGAAATCCAGTCTTTTGCTTGGGGCCTTTTCCAGTGGTTGGAGCTGGAATCCATGTTAGTTGACTTGGAGAGCAGAGGCTGGGCTCCTCTCCTTGCTGGGTCCCTAGTAGGCTGTCGGGACACTGACTCGGAGGGCCATCCCTGCAGGTCTGTGACAGCAAATCCTGCAAGAACAAGGAACCCCAGGAGTTGGTGGGCAGCAGCCCTCAGCGAGAGGCCAGTCCAATGCCTGGTGCTAAGGAAGCTGGGCGGGGCAAGGACGCAGCGGAGGAGGATGCGCCAGAGGAGCGTGAGAGCACCGAGGCAACCCAGAGCCGCGCTGGCAGGCCTTCCAGAAAGGGAGAGGTGCTTGGGCCAGGTGAGTGACCGCCTCCCCGGCCGGCGTGCCCTTCTCCCTTTCTCTCTCCCCTGTCCTTCACGGGTGAGCCTTTCCAGGCCGGGGCACCACCTCCCTCACTGACAGATGATAGGAGCCCCTGCTACTGGGCCTTGATAGTCTGACTTAAGGCCTCAGTTGTTGTGATACACAGGGATGCCGTTCAGCACCGTCCTGTGTTCCCTTCCCTGAAGCCCTTCTCCCTCTCGCAGGCCTCTGTACCCTCGGTTCTGAGGAACCCCCACCCTTGCAGATGAGAACTTTGTCCTCTTCCCACGCAGGATTGGCAGCGGGGAGCGCTTTGGCATCCCCTCAGGAAGTGACTGTCACAGACCGTCTCCTGCGGGATGGCCCACCGCCTGGCTCCCCCGAGGCTCCTCAGCGCCCCCCCAGAGCTGGAGCCGGACCGGTCATTGTTAGAAGCCAGGCTGGGCCCGAGGGTCTCTCCTGCCCCAGTGCATCCCCCAGGCTCGAGAGAGAGCGGGAAGACCACAAGGCAGTGGAGGGCTCAGAGGCTTCCTTGCCGCTCTGGGATGCACCCAGCACAGAGCAATTGCCTGGGACTGTGGACCCTCCTGCTTCCTTTCCGAGTCCTGTCTCCTCGAGGACCAGAGACGTGAGGAGAAGACAGGTGTCCGGGAAGCCAGGTGCCCAGGAGAGCTGGCTGCCCTCAAGCGGAGCTGCGGCGCAGGCCACGGACACGCTGCCCCCTGGCCGGGAACCTTCGTCAGGAGCTGACGCCTCAGAGACTTCTCCCAAAGCCTCTCAGGGGGGTTTGGCTAAAGACAGTGGTGTACAGGGCAGGGGGCCGGAGGGGGAGCATCCTCCCAAGGCTGCAGAAGCCACCGTGTGCGCCAACAACAGCAAGGTCAGCTCCACTGGTGAGAAGGTGGTCCTGTGGACAAGGTGGGTAAGGCTGGCTGTGTGTCTGGAAGGAGCACAGGACACGCCCGCCTGGCTTGTGACCACGGATCCATGTGGCTTTCAGGGAGGCTGACCGCGTGATTCTCACCGTGTGCCAGGAGCAGGGGGCACAGCCGCAGACCTTCAGCGTCATCTCCCAGCAGCTGGGAAATAAGACCCCTGCTGAGGTAAGGGGGCTGGGAAGGCCGGGCCCCGACAGGACAGTGTGGCCAGTAGAGTGGTGGGGAGGGGAGGCGAGGCGAGGCGAGAGCAGTGTACAAGTCGGACCTGAACCGGTTATTGTACAGGTCTGGCCGGAGGAAGAGCCGGCTGCTCAGGGTGGGAGTGGATTTTGAGGTGGAAGCTCCAGAGTTTCCCTTCAGTGTTTCTAGGAGTGTGACAGACGTGTAGCTTGTGTCTCCTTATCTGCAAGGAGGGTACAGCCCTCAAAACCTGGCTGCGGAGCGTGAGGTTCCAGATCGATACACAGTGCTGAGGCCACAGTGTTGGCAGCTTAGGAACAGCAGTGTGGCCTGGTCTCCCCTAGGTTTCCCACCGCTTCCGGGAACTCATGCAGCTGTTCCACACTGCCTGTGAGGCCAGCTCGGAGGACGAGGACGACGCGACCAGCACCAGCAATGCGGACCAGCTGTCTGACCACGGGGACCTGCTGTCTGAGGATGAGCTGGATGAGTGAGGCGCTGGCCTGCATGGGTGTCCTGTGCGGGACCGGATCCAGCAGGCCCCCCAGCTGGCCTGCCGGACGCAGTGCTTCAGTCAGCGTACAGGGCGGGAGCAGGAGCTGAGGGCGAAGGGCGGCTCCGCCAGCCCGTGCGTGCGGCATTCGGGGCCTTCCAGGAAGACTTCGCACAGCTGCTTTAGAAGTAGCAGGGAGGGAGTGCGCGTGCGGCTCACTTCCTTTCTCTACTTTTTTTTTGGTCTCAAGTCACATATTTATTGTTCTAAGTGTCATGAATGCATACAGCGGGGATCCAGTCCCGAGATGCTCCACTGCCTGAAGGCACTGGGCTGCTGCATCTGGCCTTTTTATCGTAAACTAGCTCTCCCCACCCCGTCCTTGAAGTTTTAGTCCGTGAGGCCGTCACCCTCCTGGTAGCACTGGGCCAGGCTGTGCAGATCCTGCAGCAGCTCCTGCACGTCATCCAGCTCCACTCCTGCATCCATGAAGCTGGCCCAGCGCCGCAGGTCAAGCTTGGTGAGCTCTCTGGCCAGGCCTGCCAGGGTCCGGTGCAGGGACGAAGAGGAGCACAGGGCCCCAAACACTGGGATGCTGTCCACTGCTGTGGGGGAGAGCAAGGAAGAGTTGTGCGTGAACTGGCTTCCTGCTCTGGGACGCTTGTGTGCTGCTGTGGGTGTCTGGGCCATGGGCAGACCTGACGGAAGTAAACTCACTTGGGTGTGCTGTCCCCTTAGTGTGCCTGTCCTCGGCTCGGGGTGGGGGGTGTGTGTGTGGGGAACCTGGCAGGAGCCGGCGGGACAATAAAGGAATGTGTGGCCCATGTACTTGGCAGTACTTGATCTAGGATGGCAGATGGGAAGACCTCTCCTCCCAGGCTTGAGATCTTTCGCAACCTCCTACCCACCTGCCCTCGGGAGAACCATCCCGAACCATACCCTGCTGGCTGCAGCTGGAGAAGAGGTGCGGGTAGGGAGGCGCCACACTGCAGGGGCTCCGCAGCAGGTGTGAGGAACTGTGGGGCAGAGCAGAGCAGCTGCGTGAGCCGCGCAGGCAGCTGGGCAAGGGAGGGCGGGCAGGCCTTTCACACTGACCTCAGGGCCCTGGGTTCCTGCAGTTCCAAGTACTGCGCCAAGACGTCTTCCCCAGTGGTGCACGCGTGCAGTGGGGAGGGCAGAGGTGTCCCTGGGGGGAGCTGACTGCAGGAACAAAACCGTCACCATCTTTAATCTGCAGACAACTGCGAGCTACGATTCTCATTCTCACCCGTGCAGTGAGCACCACACTGCAGAGCCGCCTTCTCTTAAGGGGACGGCTGGCGGTGGGAGGAGGTGGCGTCCCAAGCCTGCGCGGGGCACGGGGGGGAGACGGCAGGGGACGGTGCCTGAGCAGGCGCCCTCACCTGGTGTGGCAGGCTCTGTCCACGCCCCTCAGCACCACGGACTGGGCGAAGCAGCGTGTCCCACAAGGGTCCCCACATGCAGACAGTGGGGTCCAGGGGGTGGCTCCTCCGAACTGCATCAGAGTATCAGGAAGGGACTGGCCTGGGCCCAAGGGGAAGGGGATGGAGGCTCCTGCTGTCACTACCTGAGGAACAGGAGGAGATGGGGTTACAGAGCTGCTGCCCGCGCTGCCCCAGCCCCTCCTGAGCTGCCCTACCTTCTTTCCGGCGCAGCTCAGCATGTCGGCGAGGTGTGCCATGGAGACCGGAGCGCAGTGGAGGCGATAGGGAGCAGTGAGTGTGTCCAGGGCTGTAGCCAGGATGGCACTGCAGTGGAAGGGCAGAGTGGCCTGGAGAGGGCACACGGAGAGGAGTGCTCGCCTTTCAGGCCTGGGGAAGACCGTGTGCAGGCAGGACAGTAGTGATGGGCCGAGGCAAGGCTGGACAGGCCCAGGATCGTGCGACCTAAGAGGCCACCTTGTAGCTGCGTTAAGGCTCAGGTTTCAAGAACGAGGGCAAGGAACAGAGGCTGACTTGAGGAGTGTGGGGCGGTGCCGTGGCCAGCTGTGGGCAGAGCGGGGTCCCTTACATCGTAACGCAGATGAGGGAAGCTGACGGGGCGCTCAGGTCGCAGGCCCAGGCTCCCACCCAAGGACAAGGGGCAGACGAGAGAGCTGTGAGCAGCCAAGTGCACCAGGCCGAAGGTTGTGTTTAACAGGCGGTAGATGTTTTTCTGGGGCTCCTGGTTACAGAAAACAAGAGTAGTTTACACTAAACAGTTTTCCCACCGAGATACCTCCATCCCCACCCCTACCCCTCACAAGGTCCACTCACCCCAAGATTGTAGGGAGCAGGGAGCAGGCCCCAGGTCATTATTCCCCGGCCTGAATACTCGTCTTGCAGCAGCTCGGCAGCCTTAGCGCCCACCCCAGAGAAACCGTCGTGCAGGTCGCACAGGATCTGGAAGCCCTGGAGAGACGTGAGTGAGGAGAGGGGGCAGCAGGATGGGGAGGGGTCGTCCGCCCCGCACGGCTACCTGCAGGTAGTCGCACTCCTCCACGTAGAAGTGCAGCCTGTCCTCCAGCATCTCCAGGTAGCCGGGCTCTTTCAGGACACTCTCCCCTTGGCCAAAAGCCTCCAGCCTCCCTGCCTCCCTGTGAGACGTAAAGACGCCTGAGGCGGCAGCCACCTCCCGCTCCGCCGCCGCGTTCTGGGCAAGGGCAAGCAGGGCCTCAGCTGGCCTTGGGGACCTCAGCCTCGGGCTCCCCTACCCTTCGTGGTTGTACTTGTGGATCATACAGATGCTCCGGGGGTGCAGGTGGACGCGCAGGAAATCTGACCAGACTCTGACGCCGCCCTCCAGGGGGATAACTGGTTTAGCAGCAGTGACTGGTGGAGGACCTGAATGAAAACACAGAAGTGCGCCCTTTCTGCGTGTCCCTGCTCTGTGTGGCTAAGCATCCCTGGGCAGCTGCGGCAGTCTCACCTTTGCCTTTTGGGATGGATTTGACCCTCCAGACGCCATCACTGCTGAGCACTCCCTGGGAGAGGGAGAACAAACTGTCTAGGGCTGGGCGGTGTAGAGGCCAAGGGTGTTTTAGCGCACCAGGCCACACCCACTGCCCCATCTTGGTTCAGGCGTTCATGATGACCTCATGATGACCTAGAACGGAGGCACTGCCTGCAGCACTGGCTCAGGACACCCGGGGCAGAGGCCCTCACCTCTGCGCTCAGGAGGTCCTGGAGATACGGGTTCTTGGGGTCGAGTTCCTCTTTGTGTGTGGTGAGCTTGCCCTGCCTGAGAGATGTTGGAGGTTGATCAAAGAGGCTCTGGGCATGAGGCGCATTCCAGCTTGCACCACCGCTCCCGCATGTCGGATACACACCAGGCTATGGCCGCATCCAGCTGTCTGTCCCTGTAGGGTCCACCTTCCTCTCGCAGGGAGCTCAGACTCCCTGTAGGGGAGTAACGGGCAGTATTAGGTTATTCTTGGACTCTCCTCCCCTGCCCTCCAGCCGGCCTGTGACCGTCCCTCCAGCACTGGATACACACAGGGAGGGAACCCGGCCCGTGCTTCCGTCCCCAGCTCAGTCACTGCTTGTGGGGCTGGGGACGAGAGCCCCACCCCGCGGTCCCGCACCTCGGCGTCCTCAGGGGCACGCAGCCTATTCTAGGGATGGCTCCCTAGAGCCCAGTTTTGCCTTTTCCCGCGTCCTAGTGCTGGCGCCTCAACTCTGGGCCTTCAGGCCAGGAACGCTGGAAGGTCTTGAAGCGAACGGATGGATGCTAGGAGACTGCGCGTGATGGGGGAAAACAGTTTCGCCGGACCGTTTGCCCCGCCTCACCCTTAAGGTCCATGAGGATGAGCCGCGGCGTGTAGGTTTCCTGGCCATGCAGCGTCCGGCCGGTCCGAAACAGCACGTCGGGGCACAGCTCTCCCGGCGGCTCCTTGGCGTCGCCCGATCGGTCCAGCGCAGCATCCTAGGGAGGCACAGAAGGGTGATGGGCTCAGGCGGCGAGCGGAGCAGGCCGGACGTGAAGCCTGTGGATTCTGGAGAGCGCCCCCGGCGCAGTCTCCGGAGACCTCACCTGCTGGTTCCACCAGTGCGCTCCTACGAAACCCGCAAAATGTCCCAGCTGCAGCGTGAGGACCTCCCGAGCCCCGCCCGCCATGCCGCGCGGCCCCGCCGGCTCACACGGCCTCTGCCCGTCCACTCTGCTTCTCGCCTATTGGCTGGACAGGCTGTGGGCGGGGCCTCGCCCCTGTGTCCTATTGGCCCACAAACACATCCTTTCTCATTGGATGAACGGTTCCTTGGCTGGAGACGCCGCTCATCACTCCGTCCCCCTTCCCGGTTCCCTGTCGCGGCGGCCGAGGGGCGGGGCCCGAAGGAAGCGCCGGAAGTGGCGGGCGCCACACTCGAGCGATCTCAGCCCCGTTCCCTTTACGTTTCCCGTGGGCTTCTTGCCTGGCTCGCTCGCTGGTTCTAGTTCCACTGCGAAAGTAACAATCTCCCTCTTTTTTTTTTTTTTTTTAAGAATTTATTTATTTGAGGGAGAGTCGTCGATGCGCTGGTTCAACTCCCCAAATGGCCTCGGGGTCTCCCAGGTGGGTGCAGGGGCCCTAGCATTTGGGCCGGCTTCTGCTTTCCCAGGTCATAGCAGAGCACTGGATCGGAAGAGGAGCCAGGCGGAGAACCAGCGACCATTATGGGATGCCGAGCCTAGCCTGCTGTGCCACAGCACGGGCCCCACAACCTTCCTTTTAAACTTGGACAGGGACCTGTCAGTCATCCATCTCTTTATGTAAATAAATCGGAGTATGTATTTTTCGTCTGGCTTCTTTTGCTCGGCAGTTTGTGAAATTAACTCCTATCCTTGCATGTACTCGTAATTGATCTTTTTTCTCTATTTTGACAGGCAGAGTGGACAGTGAGAGAGAGAGACAGAGAGAAAGGTCTTCCTTTTGCCGCTGGTTCACCCTCCAATGGCCGCCGCGGAGCCAGGTGCTCTTCCTGGTCTCCCATGGGGTGCAGGGCCCAAGCACCTGGGCCATCCTCCACTGCACTCCCTGGCCACAGCAGAGAGCTGGCCTGGAAGAGGGGCAACCGGAACAGAATCCGGCGCCCCGACCGGGACTAGAACCCGGTGTGCCGGCGCCGCTAGGTGGAGGATTAGCCTAGTGAGCCGCGGCGCCGGCCTGTAATTGATTCTTAAAAAAAAAAGGATTTATTCATTTGAAAGGCAAAGTTATAGAGCGAGAGATCTAACATCCACTGAGTCACTCTCCAAATAACCACTAAGACCAGGACTGGCCCAGGTCAAAGCCAGGAGCCTGGAGCTCCATGAGGGTCACCAGGACCTAAGTACTTTTTCTATTTTTTTTTGGACAGGCAGAGTTAGTGAGAGAGAGAGAGAAAGGTTTTCCTTTTTCTGTTGGTTTACGCCCCCAAATGGCCGCTATGGCCAGCACGCTGCAGCTGGTGCACCGCGCTGATCCGAAGCCAGGTGCTTCCTCCTGGTCTCCCATGCAGGTGCAGGGCCCAAGCACTTGGGCCATCCTCCACTGCCTTCCCAGGCCACAGCAGAGACTGGACTGGAAGAGAAGCAACCGGGACAGAATCCGGCTCCCCAATCGGGTCTAGAACCTGGGGTACCGGCGCTACGGGAAGAGGATTAGCCTAATGAGCCACGGCGCCAGCCTAAATCATTATTTTTTAAAAATATTTATTTATTTTACTTGAAAGTCATACACAGGGAAGAGGTAGAGAGAGAGAGAGGTCTTCCATCCAATGGTTGACTCCCCAGTTGGCCGCAATGGCTGGAGCTGTACCGTCCTGAAGCCAGGAGCCAGGAGCTTCCTCCAGGTATTCCACGCACTTGCA